AGGAATGCCAGGAGTCCTAACTTCATCTGCCAATGTCTTGGCCTGGCCTTAGGCAAATTAACCCTTTTCCTTGATTTCTCCACTTTTAAAGAGAAGTTTTTAACACATTCTTATTTACTTCACATGCTGTTGAGGATTAGTTTCTGGAATGCTAAGTACAACAAACTCCATACCACACTGTGAAGTGAAAGAATTGATAGAATAGTAGACCAGTAAGGTAAGCAACACTCTCCTTTTATTACCAGGTACAAAAAGATTGGTTTGCAAAGAAAGAGACAGCGAGCAGAGCACTACAACAATCGTCACAGGTTAGGCAGTAATTGCAGAAGAACAGTAAGAACTCAAGACAGAAATGGAAAACAAACAAACAAACCAACCAATCCCAAATCCCAAACCACCAAAGTCAAAAAGCCCTTAGAAAGACTACTTGGGAAAAAGAGAAAAATTTAAATCATTTAAGTCTGATTATATTTATTCCTGTGTTACTTAGGGAATTTGCTGAGACAACCTCTGTGCTGCTAGCAAGTATTTGTGAGTGGACAGGTAGTTTCTGATGCCATCTTCAAAAGGAAAAAAAAAGAAAGAAGGGAAAAAAAAAAGAGCAGCCAAATCACTCCAACTTCAATTCTTCAGTTCCTGGAAGGATACTAGAAAAGAACCTCAACATTCCATCAATCTCCCTGTAAGTTATCTAGCAGATAGCAAACAGAAAAGCAATAGCCAACACATATTTCTGAAAAAAAGTTGTATCAAATCAACATTATTTTCCTCCTGTTACAAGGTCATAGACCTTATGGACAGGGAAGAAGCAAATACCATGTTTTCATTTTAGTAAAGCTATTGACAATGCTTCATATAGCTTTATAGCTTTCCTACAAGCAAGGAAGGAAAGCATGGTCTCAATGAAGTTAGTTACCACATAACTGGCTAGAAAATTGTGCTCAGAATGCAGAGATTAATTGGAAGCAAAAACAAACAATGAGTAACAGAAATGTGACTTATAAGGTAAGAGGAAATAAATCAGTTTTTAAGATAGCGAAGAGATGACCGAAGGGAAAAAAAGATCATAACACTCTTCAAATATGCGATGGGTTGCTGCAAAAAAAGGAGATATTACATTGTCTCCAATGTCCTCTGGGGATAATAAAAAAGTAACGGGCTAAAAATTGGAGCACAGGAGATTTAGGCTAACTTTTAGTGAAAGTTTTTCAACTAAGTATAATTAAGTACTGAAACAGATTGCCTAGGGAGACTGTAGCTTTTCCATCATTTGGAGTGCTAAAGAACAGGCCAGACAAACATTTGTTAGGAATGGTTAGATACAATTGGTCTGGCCGTTGGGCAAAGGGATGGATGAAAAACTTCATCTCCGTTTTCTAGATTTCGATGGTAACAGTGCCAGACATACTGATAAAGTGAAGAGGTTATAAAGCTGGAACAATCACAGTACGTTTAATCCGACCTCATGTATACCACATAGTTCATAGAAACACCCCTGAATTATTTTTCAGGCTTTTTTTCTTAAATGTATCTTTCAGAAAAATGCAATGTTGATTAAAAACCTGATAATGACACAGAATCCACCACAACTGCCAGTAAGTTGTCACACTGATCTTCAGTGTGACAACTGAAGTTATCTTCATTCTTAAAGAAATACTAGCATGAATGACTTGAACTTTAAGAATACAAAAAACATTTACCATATTTTTCCAGATGAAAGAAAGCTAATTTCGTTTAGGGACAACACTACCGACAAAAAAACTAACAGGAAATTAACTCTAGTCTTTCCACTAAGAACTGTAATTTGAATGACATCCACAGTTAAAAGGAATAGCGCGTGAGAGGAGGGCAAGATGCATCAGCTTGATAACTAGAAAGGGGTCACAAGAAGACAGAAGAATTATCTGTAGGTCAGTTTGATTATTCAAGATACATTTCACTCAAAAGAATCATAATTAATTTTCCTGGTGAACTATGGAGTAAGCCAAGTAAATGCTAATCAATGCTGTATAGTCAAAATAATAGCTTATGCTAAAGAAGTATTGATAATACTAATTTAAATAAACATAACAATGACAAAATATAGACAGCCTTGCTAAGTACTCTACAGTATTTTACTCAACTGTATAACTACTACCAGTGTGATTAGCATCTAATCTCACTTAGTATCTATTGAGAGCTATTTCATCTCAAACTCACCTCAGAAACAGTATATAAAGTAAAAGCTTGTATTTGACATCATATGATAGTACCCATTTACCTTTCCAGCCATCTGTAACAACTATGTGTTAAAAAGAGTTTTATAGAAGTCACCTAAGAACCTGTCATTTCATCAAGGCTGATTTCATTTAGTCCTGGCCCTCATTTCATCTGTTAACAAACCAATCAGCTGCTTGAAAGGCAAACGTTATTTGATTCGCTTATTAGCGGGTAGCTAAAACAGCACAGCTCTTTAACAAAAGAGCAGTTTTCCTAGATACAGGGACTTTATTGATTCAAAGTAAATGTATCACAAAGCATACAACACACTACTGATATCCCGTACGTACCATTGGATCTGCTGGTTTCTCTTTACACAGTGCAGTGAGCCCAGCTAGTAATGTAGGCTTTACATAAAGGTTCAAGTAATCCCTGGCTCTTTGTCCAGCTGGAATTGGCTCCAAGATCACTGTAAAGAGTAACCACAGGTGTTGGGAAGCAGCTTGTAGAGTGATTAAAAAATACATTCTTTCAAAGGTTGTTCATATATGAACTGTTGTTTTCCTTAATAAGTTAATAATACATAATGGTTTTTATTACTTCTCCCACAACAAACTGCAAAGAAACTACATAAACCCCTTTACAATAGTAATCTTACTAATTATAGCCAATTATGAAAGTGGAGGAAATCTGATCATCTGGGGAAAACCTATATCCTTGAGGACGCACTGTGGGCAGGAGAGAAACAATATATGCCATGTTTAGTACTTCCCTGTTGCAGTGTGAAGTCAGTTTCTGGAGACCCTAAAAACCTCACCTTAAGTCCTGCTTTGGCATTTGGGTGAGGAGAAGAGACATGGTTTGCAATGGGTAAAGTTTGTAGATGAGCACAACATCTTTTATTAAATTAACTGATACAGTTGATAAAAAGACAAGTTTTTCTAGCAGTTTCCCTTGCACCTTTCTGTCCAATAGCAAAGCCATCTTTCAACTGTTGCATTACAAACAAGAGATCCTCTCCCAGCTTTTCGAGGTTCTATCGCCCTTTTCTCTGGCACTTAATTTTGCAATCGCACTATCATGTGAGCATCCCGCTGCTGTTGAACAGGAATTACTCAGCCTGAGCCCCAGAAGAGAGTCAGTCTTCTCAAGCCAACAGGAGTCCCCGGGGCTGACAGTGCTAGAAAGACATGCTGGAGTGTAATAGCTTGCCATTTCCTCTCATTTACTAGCTCTGTCTGCTCCAATTCCCACACCACAGAGTTGGAAAAGTAGAAGTAATCCCTGTAACTATAATGGCTCTTCAGATAGATTTTCATAGCAGAAAATATCAGCTTATACATAGACACTCTCACATTCTCATAAACTAACCCAACCTCTCCTAAATCCAATTGTATCTAGAGTCCAGACAGAGACAAGTAATAACAGAGAAGGACGCTATCCTCCCAAAGACTGGCAATGTATTATTTGTACCATTTTACCTTCTGGAAACATGAATCGAATTTCTCTTTCTGCTGAGGAAACATTGAGGCTGCCGTGGAGCGCATTCCTCAGGTCATCAGTCCCATAGATTGCTCTTAAGCTGAAAACAAGAGAAATAACTGCTTGCTAGGCAACTGCACATCTCTTCCAAGTCTCTACAGTCTGAGAGCATATGAGTGCAATATATATGGACTAATTAACAAGGCATTGGCTTGATATTGTTTTTAAACAGAATAAGTAGCTACCTAAAATTTACATTCATGCACTCAGCATTCTCCATAAAATGGGTGAACTTTACATACTAAAAAACCACAGGTGAAAAGCTATGTTACATGAAATTTTATAGCTATGAAGCCACTCCAAATCTGTATCTCTATTGTAAAAGAAAAAAAAAAAAAAAGATAAAGGGAGAAATTCTGGTCTCAATTAAGTGAAAGACAAAATCCTACTGACTTCACCAAGGCCCATCACTAGTTACCTGTGAGGGTGAGTTCTCCTAGCTCTTACACTGTTCGATGGTCCAAGCAATTCCTTCCAGTATGAGACTGCACAATGTCTGGCAAGAACCATAGCAACTAAAGGCCCGGAACTCATATAGGCTGTTAAATTAGGAAAAAACACTTTTCCGTATTGGTCTGCATAAAAGTTGCTACATTGCTCTGGGCTTAACTGGAGTTTCCGTTTCTATAAAGGGTAAAAGAAAAAAAAAAAAGTGAAAGAAAGCTAAAAAGCTTGCTAAATTAAGATAGCTTTCTACCTCAGATCAAATACAGTTCTCTAGTGCCATGGTACCTTCAAGTGCAGGAGAACAGACACAGAGTAACTTCCCAGCCTAATCTGATTCTCCCAGATCTGATCCTCTTTGAGATACAGAGTAACAAAGAGCAAGAGTTTTCCAAGTCAATTAAGCAAACAGGCCATTTGAATAAGATGTGATTTTAGCCTATGCAAACTCCATCATTTAATAACTGCCGGGTGACTTAAACTACAGCCAGGGCAGAAAAAGTGAAGAGCATTACAAGGGCAGGATTTAATTACTCAGCTGCTTCAGCGTAATGGTCTACTTTTAAACAATTTTCTCTTCAGCCCACACGGTTATTTATGCAATTGTTCTATTTTTCAATTAGTACTCATGTTTTAGGATTCTCACAATAGCTGCCTAGCCTGCAGATGCCCAGGATTAGGTGGTTTGGGAGGTCATCAGACAGCATAGGGCAGTCACAAAAAGAGAAGGAAAAAAAAAAAATTTAAGCGCATTCTTTGAGCAACACAGAGTGCCGCAAATTCAGATTCCTAATAACTTTGGTGCCGAAAGTCACTGGAAACATCAGAAGACACTATAAACATCTTGGCACTAAAAAAAAAAATAAATAAATAAATCTAATTTCTCTCATCTGCTGATAGATTTTGTATATAAAAAAGAGAAAAAAAACCCAACCAGAAAGGGGGAAAAATTTAAAAAGAAAAAAATATGGAAAAG